CCTAGATGGGCCGTCGTGGTGACAATGCGGTATGCCCTAGAATCCTCTGCACCCGCTTGGCCTGGAGATCTTGGCAGGACAGAACTCGTCCCCGGCCTGAGCACCCTCTGGACCGATCTTGCTTGTGTATAGGTTCAACTGCTCGAGCAAGGACATGCCCGTGAGGGACTCTGCCAGAGCCTGCCCGGCCCCGACGTGTGGAGCACTTCAACGTCATGTTGCAAGCCACACAGGTGCGTAGCAAGCTCAGGGTCTGAACTAGATCTAGAGACTGATCTAGAGTGCTGACAACTCGTGCTGTCGGGTGTCCCCTCTTCGGTCGCTTCCTCAGCAGGTGTCTACAGCTTCCTCCGAGTGCTCCCGCCAAGTTTGGGACGAGGAGAGCCTGAATGCCTCCCCCTCCAACAACAGGATGTTTCGGAAATGTTCAAATTCAAAAAATATCATAACATCACGTCCCAACAGATCCGCAGCGAGGCTCCAAACCCCGCACGCGTTCGAGGCTCAGCACGAACCACGGAGACTCATCAGAATCTCCCCAGAGCTTGAAGGCTGGATCTTAACTTCCGATTCTCCCACGACGTGCCTTCGCCCCGTCGTGCCCGAGATCGTTGTAGCGTAGATCAAGGACCTTCAGGGCGGCGAGGCCCTTGAGAGCGGGCGCCAGGGCCTGGCGGCGAAGTGGCTTTCGCGAGCGAAGGGCCTCACACCTAGATGGGCCGTCGTGGCGACACACGGTTTGCCGAATCAGCACAGGACTACATCCCCTGCCTGCATTCCTTGTGGACCGATGAAGGTGCTTTCTGCGTCTTGCAAGACCAGCTCCTCAAGACCAGACTTTCCATCCAGGGCGAAGCCGAAAGCCTAGCCAGCTGCAAAGCGATCAGGCAGTGCCACAAGTGCCAGTGTCTCCTTGTTCATCGAACTCTTGGGCATGTGTCCCAAAAAGAATTTGCAGCTGTAGACGAAGGGTGTTGAATGCCGTCAAACACCTACCTCCGACAGCGAGCGGCCTCACCCCTCACCTGCAGGCCGGGCCTCCAGCCGCGACTGGGCCAGGGGACGGTAGCCATCGATCCCAGTGCAGAGTACGAGGCTCTTCAGCGCGACGTGGCCCTCGAGGGCCTCCAACACGGCCTGGCAGAGAAGCGCGAGACCGCGCCCAGGCAAACGAGACCCACGGAGCACACCCCACCGCCTCGACATCCTTACCCTGGTCGACCTGTAAGACCTGGAGCCGAGACTGGCCCTGCAAGGCCGCAGCCAGCTCCTGACAAAAGCAGGTAGTATGCTGTAAGTTGTGCTCTCGTCAGAACTGGCAACAAAATGAGCTCCCGTCACGATGCCTTGCGACCCGCTTGGAGCCAAAAGATCTCGACGTGGCCATCTCGGAGAGCCTGCCGGACCTGTCCGAAAGGGAGCCCCTTAGTTCTGCTGACACGGAGGACCCAGGCTCGGAGCTGCACCTCCTGGGCTTTGTCATGAGCAGTCGACTTATCCCCGCGTGCCACACGAAACCACGTATCGAGCGCCACCACCACGTCCATCAGCCTGAAGCACCGACTCAGGTCTTCGGCAGCCTCGGTGTTGCACGCACGGCTCTGTTTTGCACAGGGCTGCCCACAGTAGGGTATGGGACAAAGCCCGGCCTGGCCTTCACCCGATGATGCCACTCTAGGTTCGTAAGGTTTCCGGAGATGTGGAGCTGAACGGCCGCACGTCGCTGGCTGGAGGCCAGAGCCTGCATGTTTGGTGGGCCCTTGACTGGAGCACCACATGCCTCATGGCCGACGTTCGCACGCTGCCCTCTCAGGTCCTAGCCTTGAATCCTTTCGTGCCGATGCCGTTGGCCACGAGGCTCAGTCGTTCGATCGCACAGCGATCGGAGTCGAGGCATTCTGCCACGACCTGGCAACTGAGGCGACGCACGAAGAAGGAAGGTGCCTTGCATTGCCGGCCTTGGCCCCCGCATCCCCCAAGGCGTTATGGGCAGCACGGAAGTCCTTGAGGGTCTTCGTACGGAGAAGCTTCTGCAAGGCCTGAACATGCCGAGGTGGCATTCGATGCATCGGAGCATGCGACTGGAGTACGACTTACTTCTGCGCGTGCGGCATGCAGCCGATCGAACATAACTCAAGGCAGACAACATGTGCAACCTACAAGCTTTTCCCTACAAACACGCGCCCACCCCCGACGGGCACAAATCGGCCAACGGGGCGACAACCGGACCGATGCCCAATCTCGAGAACGACATTCCCAAATACATCTTCCATGACAGCTCTGTCTGGCAGAACGAGAGATTCACACTAAATTCACACCACAATGGCCACTGTATGTATGTATTTGGCATCATTGTGATACACTTGCTGCAGACAGTCTCCCGAGCTTCGAAGCAGCGGTGCCTCTGCACGTCTGGCAAGGTTTGAGCATGATGCGGTTGTTCATACTTCCTGAAATTCCGACGTAGTTGTCTTTGCGAGTGATCTTCGTGCCCAATGGCCGACCACACGGATGAGCTTCAGCTTCGTTGGCAGCATCAACAGGAGCTTCCCATGCCCACAAAGGCGATCAAGGGTCGACAGCATGGAGAACGTTGCGACTCGCAAAACTTCACTCATTTTGCTACCTTCTGACAGGACATGGTTTTGCAAACCAAAGCTCCTTACGGCAGGAAACCCTACGTGATGGCTAGCCCTTGAAACGACCCTACACCTCAACACGATGCCACGCCGGCCTCAGTACAGTTCGGCCCGAGATCGTTGGAGCCCACGTCCAGAGACTCCAGCAGGGAAGTCTCAGCCAAAGCCTCTGCCAAGGCCTGCACA